GGGTTTAGGGTTTAGGGTTTAGGGTTTAGGGTTTAGGGTTTAGGGTTTGTGCTGCAGCGGGGGTCAAAGCGCCCATGCGCCGAGGGGCTTCTTACGGGCTTCTAGAAAGACATGTGCAGCACAGCCCCGTGCCTTCTCTCAAACCACCGGCTGCTGTTTCCCCAGAAGGTAAGCCCTAAACCCTCGAAACCCTAAACCTAAACCCTAAACCCTAAGTCCTAGCTGGTGGCACCAAACCCTTGTCTCCGACCCCTTGCCTCGGTCCAGGCCATCTGCCGGCGCCAGGATAAGCTTGCTAGTATACATATGGAGTCTAGGGTTTAGGGCTTAGGGTTTAGGGTTTAGGGTTTAGGGTGTAGGGTTTGTGTGCAGCTGCACGAGGGTTTGCCACAGCGGTGGCTGCAAGCGATTTCTCATCAATCATATTGTACAAGGAAGGGTGGGCCTTCTAAACCCTAAACCCTAAACCCTAAACCCCAATATCTAAACCCTAAAATGTAGGCTGTGACTTTAACAGGCTGGCTTTTGCTGTTTCTGCTGCTGGCATGGCGTGCTGCACCCGCCCATGAAGCCTTGTTGCTGCTGCTGCTGCTGCTGCTGCTGTTGCAGTGCTACAGCAGCAGAGAGCGGTAGGAATGCCCTCTTGTGCTGCGGCGAAGCAGCCCGGGGCCAATGTGGTAGAACGCTGCAGCAGCAGCAGCAAACTTTGCTTCCTGTGCAGGTAAGCAGCAGCAGAAGCAGCAGCAGAAGCAGCAGCAGCAGCAGCAGCAGCAGCAGGAGGCTGCTTGCTGCTGTTGCCAGCAGCAGCAAACCGCCACCTTTTTAGCTGCCAAACCCTAAACCCTCGAGCGTTCTTGGTTCGCTGAGCCCGCGGCCGTAGGCGCAGCGGGTGCGAGGCCCCGCAAACCCTAAACCCTAAACCCTAGTGGGGTTTGTGCTGCTGCTGCTGTCAGCTGCCGCGGTCTGTGTCGCCCCCTTTTGCTGCTCCTTTTGTCTCTTCTGTCTCCTGCGGCTCCTCTCATTGTGTTGCTGCTCTAAACCACCAAACCCTAATTGGCTGGGGTTTCAACAGCCAGGGCCAAGTTGGCGCGGGCCCCAGAGGCGCGCAAACCCTAAACCCTAAACCCTAAACCCTCGAAAGCCCAAACCCTAGGCCTCCCGAGCCCCGCACCTGCGGCGGCCCCCTGCATAGCCCTAAACCCTAAACCCTCGCGGCTGCCACTCTCCAGCTGAGCAGCTTCGCCTCCAAGCACGGGGCCTTAGGGTTTAGGGCTTAGGGTTTAGGGTTTAGGGTTTAGGGTTTAGGGTTTGCGCTGCAGGCATTGTCTCGCCTGCGCGCTGCGTGCGCCTACCCGAGGGCCTTTTTGAGGGTTTAGAGCAGCAGCAAGAGGGGGAATTGGAGCAGCAGCAAAAAGGGGAATTTGAAATGAAAAAAGAAACAAAAAAGGAGACAAAAGAAACAAAAAGGGGAAACCCAAAATTGGGGTTTATTGCGGCTTTGAGGTGCTCCTTTGCAAACTCAGCCGTCATCGTAAACCCTAAACCCTAAAGCCCCAAACTTCTTCGTTCTTTTAGCTTGTTGTGGGGAGCCGCTAGATAGCCGTATGCTCTGAGGGTTTAGGGTTTACGGTTTAGAGCTCTACAGCTGAGGAGAAAGTGCTTTCTGCATAAGAATATACTTGCTGCTGCTACAGCTGCTGTTGCTGCTGCTGTTGTTGCTGCTGCTGAAGCTGCTGCTGCGGCTTCAGCTGTTTTCACCGTTGAGTCTGGTGTTGCTGCTGCTCCAGCTGTTGCTGCTCCAGCTGTTGTTGCTGCTGCAGCCGGTTTTGCTGCATGTACTGCTGCTGCAGCCTTTGCTGCTGCTCCTGCAGCCTTTGCTGCTGCTCCTGCAGCCTTTGCTGCTGCTCCTGCAGCCTTTGCTGCTGCTCCTGCAGCTGTTGCTCCTGCAGGTGTTGTTGCTGTGGGCAGCGACGACTGCGCCACCGAATGGAGGCAGGGGTTTAGGGTTTAGGGTTTGGGGTTTAGGGTTTAGCGGGTGAGGCCGCCACCGCTACACGCTACCAGCGTAGCTC